GACTCCATGACGCCTGATGGTAAGCGACAGTGGAATCCAGAATGAGATCCATCGATTCCGGGACTTGATCTCGATTCCGATCAACCTCACCTCGTCGGCCTGCAAATGTGCTTTTTCACGCTCCGTTTAAACGACCCAGGACTATAGGAAGAGGGAAACACGTGAGACGGTAATGAATTCCATTTCCTAATAGTGCGGCACAGGTAGGAGCTGCAAACCTTTTGGTACGAGAAGGTATGGGTAGTACCGTGTGAGGATGGAATTTCCGACCAGCACGTGTGGTTTTGGAGAGGAAAGGAGAGGAGGGTATAAGTTGGAAGAGCTCTTCTGAACACTCGCCGTAATAAACGCGATAAAAAGCGGCTAGAGAAGCAACATCTCTACGCAATTGCAGAGATTCTAAGTACTGAGTAGCCTCAGGTTTATTGATTATGCGGATAGCACGGCGTTGCAATCTATCAAGAGCGTCTAACAAGTACTTATTCTTATTCTATAAGAAAACGTGTGTATGAATTAAGCAGCACATTTTATTTGAAGCCTTTTAGGATTCCGTATTAGTAGTCCTTCATACCCTAAAGCTGGACCATCGCTAATTATAATATGTATGTATTTAAAGTTATATATGTGTAGAGTATATATAAAATAATACACTCTCCATTATATATATATAAAATAATACACTCTCCATTATTCAAGTTCATGCACCAACCATTGAAGCAAATGATGAGGAAATAACAAAATTCTATCACCAAATACAAGAATCTTTAAAACAATGTTACAAAAGTATTATTATTATGGGAGATTTCAATGCCCGAATAGGGCATCGACTAAAAGGCGAAGAAAAAATAATGGGGGCTTACTGCTACGGTAAAAGAGATAATAGAGGAGAAGTATTGCTTCGTTTCTGCTGGGAAAACAACTTATTCATCATAAATAGCAAGTTTAAGAAGAAAGAAAAGAACATGTGGACCTGGATTTCACCAAAAAAAGCGAGAAGTCAAATCGACTACACACTGTCGAATATTAAAGAAAATATAACAAACTTTGAGATACTTAATAAATTTTCTTTCGCCAGCGACCACAGACTACTAAGAAATACTCTCTTTCTCGCAAATATCAAAAAAAGTAGAGCCAGCTATAACAATGAAAACTTTAAATTAAAGACAAAAGAAGGACAAGACCAATTCATAAAATTTCTAAAAGCAAACATTGAAATAGCACAACTAAATGAAAATGAAGATGTAGAGTCTTATCACAAAAAAATTAAAAATGCAATCGAATACAGTCTGAAAGCCACCAAAATTGAAAAACGTAAAACACAAAGTATTATTTCAGAAGATACAAAAAAACGAATAAGAAGAAGAAATGAACTTACCAACAAGAAAAATCTTACAAAAGAGGAAAGAACAGAAAAAACAAATTTATACAAAAATATCCATAAACTTATTAAAAAGGAATACCAAGATCATAAGATAAAAACAATAGAAAAACATTTAATAAAATCAGGAAGTCTGAAGAAAGGACTGAAAGAACTCATTTCTGCCAAGGGGTGGATACCTTGCCTTAAAGATATATCTACGGAGAAGAAGTCCTTTTCAAGATCAAAAATCATAGAGACAGCTACTTTATTCTACAAAGAGCTCTATAGCAACATACAAAATACAACATTTCAAGCCTTGCCAACGAATCAAAATTTGACAACAATTAAAAGATTCACCATACAAGAAATCGCAAGTAAAATAAGAACTTTAAAAAATGAAAAAAGTTGCGGTCCCGACGGTATACCAAACGAAGCAATCAAAACGGGAGAAAACCTGCTAGCAGCACCACTATCTGATCTCTTTAACAAAATATTAAATGAAAGAAAAATACCCAAAGAGTGGGCTGAATCCGATATTATCTTACTATATAAAAAAGGTGATCCTTCGAATATAAGTAACTATAGACCTATAAGCTTACAAGCGAATCTGTACAAACTTTTTGCATCACTTCTTGAAGAACGTCTCGCCAAGTATACGGAACGACAACAGCCTGTAGAACAAGCAGGCTTCAGAAAGAACTTCTCTACCATAGACCACATACATACACTAGATCTAATAATAGAAAAATACGAAGAACAAAGGTGCCCCTTATACCTGGCTTTCATAGACTATGCTAAAGCGTTTGATTCAATATCCCACAACAGCATGTGGCAAGCTCTACATGAATGTGACATACCTTTGGAAACAATAGAACTCATAAAAGATATATACAGTAAAAGTATAAGTAGAGTCAAATTGGACGTTCGAGGCTCAAAAATTAAAATATGTAGAGGCGTAAGGCAGGGAGACTCTATGTCTCCGAGAATCTTTATAACAGTCCTTCAAAACATAATGAAAAAATTAATCTGGAAAGAAAAAGGTATTAACATAAATGGTGAGTTCCTAAGTAACCTTAGATTCGCGGATGACATAATACTTTTCTCAGAAACTGCATCACAACTTCAAGAAATGATTAATGAATTATATACTGTTAGTCACGAGATTGGCCTGGAACTGAACATAACAAAAACAAAAGTAATGACGAACTCCTCAAAAATAAATATTATAGTCAATAATATACCATTGGAATATGTACAAGAGTATGTGTATCTTGGCAAGCAAATTTCATTCAAAAAAACTAGACACCGCGAAGAGCTTAAGAGAAGAATAAATTTAGCCTGGAACAAATTTTGGAGCAACAAAGAAATACTAAAATCAAACCTTAATGTAAAACTCAAGAAAAAAATCTTAGACTCATGTATCTTACCCTGTCTCTCTTATGCATCACAAACCTGGATATTTAACAACTATACTAAAAACAAAGTTCAAACCTGCCAAAGATCTATGGAAAGAAGTATCTTAAATCTTAAAAGAAAAGACAAGAAAAGAAGTGTATATTTAAGAAAAACCACAAATGTAATAGACGCCTTAAAACACTGTAAAAAACTTAAATGGCAATGGGCTGGACATGTTGCACGTATGGCTGATGACAGATGGACTAAAAAGGTAACCATATGGGCTGGCCCTAGCGGCAAAAGAAAAAGAGGAAGACCTATGGAGAGATGGATAGACGAGGTACTAAAAACAGCAGGGACAGACTGGTTAGACGCAGCAAAAGAAAGAACTACCTGGAGACAAATGGAGGAGGCCTTTACTCGAAGAGAGGTCCTTAATTTAAAAAAAAAAAAAAACCTAGTTTCAAATAATTTATAATATATAGCTATGATAACAAAAAAAAAATAAGTGAAGAAAATATGTAAAATTTTATTTAACTTATATAATTATAATCTGCTAAGTGTAACTTATTTATATTATAAGTTAATTAATTTCTTAATTATTATTTTTTCATAGTTTAAATTAATTATAATGTTGCATAAAAATAATAACTAATCAAACAAAATAATTGTTAAACAATGTTTTTTTTTATATTTTATAATAATGCATATAAAAATAATGATAATGATTAATATATAAAACTAAATTTAATATAGATTATGTAATAAATTTGCTAGATATAATTTCTTTAGATTATAACTTAATGTATCTCATTATAATTATGTAATTATTCATTGAATTAATATGTAACATATAAATATTCAACTATCTAATCAAATCAAAACCTAATAATGTTAAACCAATTGTCAATTTTAATTAAGGAAATAAAAAGGCTTATTATTATTATTATTATGTGTAGTGTATCAACTATCTGGTATCCATAACACAAGCCTCGCAGCTTACCATGGAATTAGATGGTGTTGTGTGTTAATGTCCCAACATTTATTATTATTATTATTATTCACATCTGGGTCCATTCATCTTGAATATATAATTTGTTGATATTTTCTAGGTTCTTTTATAGGTACTATATATACATATACATTAAATATTTTTTGGAAAATCTTATTGAAATAGTCATTATTATCGATGCAGAGGTCGAATCTATAGTTTTTAGAATATATTTTGTTCGTATGTCTATCGGTGAACGCATGACGAGAAAACCACAGGACAGATTTTGATGAAATTTGGGTCAACATGTAGGATACTTTTTACTGCGGGAAATTATCTTATCTCTGAGAAATCTATACTAAACGTTAAAACGTAACTAGCGGAGCGCGGTTAAGTCGCTAGTATTTTAATATAAATAGTGCGAATTACGTCCTGAGACAATATAATATCACTCTTTATTGGTTTCACTATCTAAATTCGGCGAGACTACAAATCGACATGGCCATAGGCCATTGATAAGGCATTGGACCCTAACCATATAAAGATGAAAAGTTTATTTGTTTTATATGTTACTGTGTTTAACTATGAAAACACCAGTTAGATATGAAATAGTCTATTTAAATTACCTTTAGCAGCGGAATAATCATATATAAATATTATAAAAAAGGTACGAGAGCGCAACTGCGGGCGATAGCTTGTTTTAAAATAACGCATTGTTTGAGTACAAAGAAAACGTAGGGATTCCCCATCTACGAGTATGCAATAGGTTAGTGGCAGTTTCTAGTGATATTTCACTTGATGTGTTTAAAATTGAACTTATCTGAGAAAACTGGGGTTTTTTTCTTTATTTAAAACAATATCGGTTTGTTTGTTCGTATTCTACGCACTCATATTTCAAGGAGATTATTTATAAATAGAAAATGTAACATTGTTTTATGTATTTTATGTTTTTCCTTATTATTAATATTTATTTATTTTTTTAATTTTTTTTATTATTCATGTTAACCAGTGTTTCTTTTTGTAATTTTTAGTTTAGTGTTTAGCTCTTTGTTTTTCTAATTTTCATTGTGGTCTGCTTCATATTTGTATTGTTTAATATGTGGAAACTTCATTGGTTTATGTGTTATCTATTAATATTAATTATTTATGTAATATCGTACTGTTTGTTTTCCTAAAATAAATAAGTAAAATAAATTATAAAAGCTTTTAGCGAAGCTTTTTTTAATAATTTCTACAGTCTTGAAATTGAAGTTGTAATCTCGATCGAAGCTTAGTACTATTCTTTAAGAACTTATGTAAATTTATATTTGAATTAACTGAATAAAATTCGCGAAATCAAGCAAGTAACATAAAAGTTGTTACAGAATAAGCCTGCTGCAAGGAACAACATTGTAACATTACTAGCAAAGTTATTTCTATTTCTTTATTAATTATAAAATACTTTATTAGGTATAATAAAATATTTTATAAAGTGTTTTCTTTTAAGATTTTATATCTCGATATATAAAAGCAAACTACGTCTACGATACGAAAAAAAATATTTTTAATTTTAATGAAATTAGTAATTACGTAAAATCCTCGTATTTTAAGTATTATATAATAATGCTAAAAATACTGTGTCACTCTCATACTTTGCTTGGAAAATCGGCTAAGCCTTTCTTATCCGACGTTCTTTTCTGTAAAAACCACTTTCCATGATATAAAGCAGCCATGTCACTCTTACTCAATAGCCCTATACTTAGTGAAAATCCTATTAAAATCGACGCAGCCGATACGATGATCAGCGAATATTAACTCTTACAATTTTCGTATAGAATTTTGGGTTCTTTATCGTGCAAATAGTCATTAGAAGTCAGTATGAAGTTCATATTGAGAATATACATATTAGTTTAAATAAATTCAAACAAATACTAAGGAATAATATAAACAGAGTGTCGTAGAACTAAACATGATGCCGAATAATAATGTTTTAAAATAATCCATACTAATATTATAAATGTGAAAGTTTGTGAGGATGGATGGATATTTGTTACTCTTTCACGCCACAACGGCTGAACGGATCGGGATGAAATTTGGCACAAACATAGATTATAGTCTGGAATAGCGCATACGTTATTTTTAGATCGGAGAAATGTACAGTTCCCGTGGGATAATTTGTTTTTGCCTAGAAACGAACTCGAAGGGTTAGAGTGGGTGAGTCGCTAATCTATACTAATATTATAAAGAGGTAAAGTTTGTGATCTTGTGAGTTTGTGAGTTTGTGACGTTGTAGGGGGTAATCTCTGGATCTACTGAACCGATTTTCAAAATTCTTTTACCAATAGAAAGCCACGTTCTTTCTGAGTATCATAGGCTATACCCGAAGAATGAAAAAACTTTTTAACAAAAAAATAAAAACCGGCTTAAAACAAAAGCCCTAAAAAGTAAAAAATAACTGATTGGTAGTTTTCATTTACTATACATACCTAATCAAATATTTTCGAAGTCGGTGTGCTTTGCTTTGTATGGGCTGGCACCGATTTCCAAAATATTTGATTAGGTATGTATTTAATAGGTAGGCTTTAATTACTTAGCCAAAGCACACCGACTTCGAATATATTTGATTAGGTATGTATAGTAAATGAAAACTACCAATCAGTTATTTTTTACTTTTTAGTGCTTTTGTTTGAAGTCGGTTTTTATTTTTTGTTAAAAAGTTTTTATCATATTAATATTTTATGTTCAATCTTTTTTATTAATGTAATTAATACATATATTAATTTTCCCTTATTGTTTAAAAAAATTAAACGATGTGTATGGCAAAATGGTGAAATATAAACATAAACAGCAAATCACGCTACTATTTTTGATTTTGACATCTATTTTGACGGGTTCCCTCTATATAACTCTTTAGTCGTGGTTAATAAATTGATCGGCACCTACATATATTTTAATCAAATATTGTTATATCACTTACAAAAAAAAATAGAAAAATTTTATAAGAATATTAACTTGTTATAGTTTGCATGCATATTTACTGGCTCATAGCCAAGTGCGCTTTTTGGCCTCAAAGTAAAAGGAAAACATTGATTTATTAAAAATGCAAAGCCTTCTTTGTGTTTCGTAACAACAAAATATTCTGAAGTTGAAAATAGTTTATACATAATCCCTTTCATTATAAACAACAATAATCTTTACTTCTTAGTATTCAGCCCTTTTTCCCACAGCTGGGCACGGGCTTCATTACGAGTTCCCCCTCGTCAAGCCATAGTACACGCTGGCCAAGTACGGGCGGACTTCACACGTCTTTGGAAAACTTTCTAGGTTCTCTCAGACATGCTGGTCTACTCAAGATGTTTTCTTTACCGTAAGACGAGCGGTAATCATGTTGGAAATGATTCGCGCGTGAAAATATCACAGGTGCAAGACTCGGGATTGGAACCCACTTCACTCAGATTCCCAAGTGAGCGCGTTACCACTGGGCTACCACTGCCTATATACTTCTTCTTTTGGTTATTCCTAACACCATGATTGCTAATGAGACTAATATTCGTAATTGAGCTTCTATGAACATAAACATTAGTATAATGGATAAAATAAACCCACAATTTCCTACTCTGTAAGGAAATACCAATTTCCTGTTCAGTGTGGAAAGGAAACAAAAATTGTATGTATACATACATTTTTGTTTCATTCAGCATACATTTTGTACGACAGATTTTTTTGTCATCGAAAAATTCTAACAAAAACACATTTATACTATATTTTAGTTCTATTTCTAAAATAGCCAGCTCTTGAACCCATGTAATATGTAAAAGTATCTAACACGACAAAGCCTTAAAGAATAGTGGTACAAGAAGGTGGTCTGTCGGCCGCCATACAGGCGGGCATGACATGGCTGTATCGACCGCGATGGGCGACGCGCGCATTCAAATATGCTAATATTTTTTATATAAAATCCAAAATTAATATTATTTAAAGTAAAATACAACTAAGAATCTCTGTTATAAAGTAAAAAAATATCCTGTACAATTTACTTTTCTTGCTCTTGTAACAAACGCATGTTATGAGGATATGTAATTGTTTAAAATTTCTATTTCTTTTGAATTTGCCATATAATATTGATAATTAATTTTTTTATATATTTATATTTAATTTTATATATTTAATTGTTTTTCTTTTGTATATAGATTTTGAAGTGCCAATACATATAGTACGACATAACGCTCAGTAGCTGCCGGGCCGCGGGTTCGCGTTGACGTCCCAATAGACGACGCAAAAAACTATTTATACGTTTCAAATACAATGCTTTAGTGCTAAAATTCAAGTGTTCACAAGAAACAGTATTATCTTTTGTCGGATCTACGTGAAATCTGTAAAGGCTGGTTTTTTTATTCAATACTTTCACCCTAAAACACATATCACTCAAAATATTTATGGTTTTTTCTAAAAATCACTCATAATTGTGGATAAATTGGAAAATTTTAACATGACTGCATTATGTCGTAATGCGTAGAGCTGGAATTGTTTTATCGTGGCATTTAAAATATCCTCTTTAGGATATATTGATTTATAAAATGTTTACTGTGGGATCTATAAGAAATGTGTGTAGCAAATATTTTTTATGGTTTTGAAGTGAAATTACAATTTAGTTTTATTTTCAGAAAGGATAGTGATTTTTGTTTTGTGACGTCAATAGGTCGATGGTGGTTAGGTTATGTAATATAATAAAGTAACACTAGGTAGAAAAATCTAGGATTCCTATAGCTTTCGTAAAGTCACCAATAAAATATCATATAGAAACCTTATATAAGTTATTCTTTGTTGGTTAATTCAAAGACTGAGTATAAACTAGGTTCAATAACGTTTGCGCTTCATTGAAAGGTTTATTTATAACTTAGCTTTAAAAAGCTTTAACAGAGCTTTAACAGAGCTTGCTTTAAAAAGCTTTAACAGAATATAAATATGTAAGCAGTAACAAAGTATACCGAGCTTTAATTAAACTAAAATATCAGACACGGTTACCATTAAATGGTTTATATATCTCTAAATTCTTAAATTACTTAAATCTATATATATATATATATATATATATATATATATATATATATACATACATACATATATATATATATATATATAACTAGGGGCTCACCCTCGCTTCGCTCGGGTTCGCTTCTACAAGAACAAAAACAAATCTATCCTTCGGGAAACATATATTTTTCCGGGATAAAAATTAGCCTATGTGTTATTATATTGTGTAAAGTAAAGTTTCAGTCAATGCTACTGAACAGAGAAAGAATAGATAGACATAGATAGTTTAACAAATGTTCGACGTCATTCTTAAATAATAAAATTGGCATAACTTTTATTTATGAACCGATTGACATGAAACAAACACTAAATGTTAAATGAAGCTTATCACAATATATTACTGAAAACCACATCTAAATCAGATAAGACGTTTCTGAGATTAGCTGCTCGCACACGCACACATAAACAGACAAACAGACAAAAGTTCTAACAATCACTGTTTTGTCATTGTTTTGGGTGCTATTTGTGTTGATAGAGGAATATTTTTTCTCATATATCTTCCATGTACAGACAGCGATCCGTTACATTTTTATTATATGTATAAATATAGATTATATGTATGTATAGAGCCGAATCTGTACATAAAATATTTTTTAGAAAATCCTATTGAAATAGTATATTATCGACATAGAGGTCGAATTTAGTTTTTAGGATTTTTGTTTGTCTGTCTGTTTGTCTGGCAATGCATCACGAGAAAACTACTGGATGGCTTTTGATGAAATTTGGAATGATGATAGCTTGTTACCCGGGGTCAATATATAGGATACTTTTTACTGCGGGAAACATCTCATCTCTGAGAAATCTATATACTAAACTATTTACGTATATACAAAACGTATATACATAAATAAGAATATAAAAAATATAGAAAGGAAACAAAGATTTCTTCTAGTCAATAAGGCTAAATCGGCTACACCCATAACATTGCCTTTAATTTTCAAAATAAAACAGTTGGTAAAAACAACGTGATTATGTTTATCTGCAAAATATTTTTATAAAAAATGCAAAATATTTTAATAAATTTTAATAAAAAAATATATTATTTTTGTTTATTTCAAATATTTTATGTTAGAAATAAATATTTTCCATCGTTACGTAACTATAGTCTAAATAATTAGTTATTTACTGTAATACTTTGCTTGCCTTCACCATACTTTATAGAAAATATATTTTTACATAAT